AATAGAATAGAATAATGGAATGAAGAAGAGGAGAGTAGAATTAGATTGGATTGGATTGGAATGGAATGGAATAGAATAGAATAGAATAGAATAGAATAGAATAGAATAGAATAATGGAATGAAGAAGAGTAGAGTAGAATAGAAATAGAAATAGAATAGAATAGAATAGAATAGAACACAACACAACAGAATAGAACAGAACAGAACAGAATAATGGAACGAAGAAGAGTAGACTAGACTAGAATAGAACAGAACAGAATAGCAGAATTGGAAGGGACCTTGGAGGCCTTCTAGTCCAACCCCTGCTCAGGCAGGAAACCCTATTTCAGACTAATCCACAGACGGTTGTCCAATCTCTTCTTAAAAACTTCCAGTGATGGAGCATTTACAACTTCTGGAGGCGAGTTGTTCCACTGGTTAATTGTTCCAATTGTCAGGGAATTCCTCCTTCGTTCTAAGTTGCTTCTCTCCTTGATGAGTTTCCATCCGTTGCTTCTTGTCCTGCCCTCAGGGGATTTGGAGGACAGCTTGATTCCCTCTTCTTTGTGACAGCCCCTGAGATATTGGAAGACTGCTCTCATGTCACCCCTAGTCCTTATTTCTTGTAATTAGATACACCCAATTCCAGCAACCATTCTTGATATGTTTTAGCCACCAATCCCCTAATCATCTTTAAGTCTTAAAGTTGCCAAGGTTGGACATCCCTGCTCTAATCCCTTTATTCTTTTCACTGTAGTTTTGGGCAACGGTTGATGTTACACCATCCGTAGCGATTTTTCTTACTAGCCCAAAAGCAAAACACATATATTCTCCATCTCCGTTCTAACCAAAGGAAGAACGAGGGCTTGGTTTGCCACCTAAGATATTAAGCGTTGGAACATTCTCCGTGCCAGCCAAGAGATCTCCTTCGTAAGCGAGTCTCAGCATTTTGGGCTTGAAAAATCCCCCCCCCCATTTTTTGTAAATCGAATATGTGGCTTTGAAGATTTTCAGTCCAAAAATGCTGAAGGAGATCTCTTGGCTGGCAATAACAGTCAAGAGACTTTAAGTCTGTAGAGATTCTCAGTCATCCAGGTTCATGGTTATCCCAAAGTTGTTTTTTTTCAGGAGGCAACTGGACTTTCTTGGTTTTTCTTTTGAAGATGTTTCGCTTCTCATCCAAGAAGCTTCTTCAGCTCTGACTGGATGGTGGGAAAGGAAAGGATTTATGCTGCTTGCAGAAAAGCTGGTCATTTGCATCCTTTTAGAGGGTCATTGAGGCCACTTGGAGGTTTATCTGTGTCTTCAGGGTCACCTGAGTAGTGCAAATGGTTCCTGTAGCCTGCAATTTTCCCTATGGAAATCCGTTCCTACTCCCAACACCATTTAAAGGGTCTTCATCTGAAATTGTGTGGCTAAAAGTCTGTAGAGATTTTCATTTATCCAGGTCACGGTTGTCCCAAAGGTGCTTTTTCAGGAGGCAACTGGACATTTCTTGTTTTTTCTTTTGAAGACGTTTCACTTCTCATCCAAGAAGCTTCTTCAGCTCTGACTGGATGGTGGGGAAGGAACGGATTTATACTCCTTGCAGACAGCTGGTCATTTGTATCCTTTGAGAGGGTCGTTGAGGCCACTTGGAGGTTTATCTGTGTCCTCAGAGTCCTTTTATATGGATATAAATCCTTCCATTCCCCACTATCCTGTCTGAACTGAAGAAGCTTATTGGATGAGAAGCAAAATTTCTTCAGAGGGGAAAAAAACAAGGAAGCCCAGTTGCCTCCTGAAAAAAGCACTTTTGGGATAGCTGAGAGACTTAATCTCTTAGGTGGCAAACCAAGCCCTCCTTCTTCCTTTGGTTAGAATGGCTGTGGATGATGAATTCGTTTTGCTTTTGGGTTAGTAAGAAAATAATTACAGATGATGCCATAATTATGGATGGCCAAACATGATTGCATGGGGTTATAAATGGACGATCGTTTACTTTCAGACAAAAGTAATGCTTCATGCTTAATTGTCATTAACAAATGTGGGCTATTTTCCTCTCTACTGTAGGAGGAAGGGTTTTGGTGGCACAGCTGGGATGGCTTACGTGGGCACCGTGTGCTCCAACAGTCACTCTGGAGGCATTAATGTGGTAAGCGGCTATTCACTGCAACCACCGTTAAGTCAAAGATAAAATGACAGCTTTGATGACTTGTGGCAGAAAGGGCAGAGAAGGTTGTCCTCCACTTATGATCACAATTGAGGTCAACATTTCCATTGCAAAACAAGGCGGTTGTTTTTATGACAGTGTCAGCATTCCAGAAAACCTCCACTCCAACAAATAACTCCGAGACAGACATCTTCTCAAAAGTTCTTTTTTTATTTGGGTAGTAAACAGGCACATCCGGGGAATATCAAATCTGAAAGTTGTGATGACCCGGGGCATGACACAAAAACAATAATTGTACTTTTACTTTTACTTTTTGCTTTTGCTTTTGCTTTTGCTTTTGCTTTTGCTTTTGCTTTTGCTTTTGCTTTTGCTTTCCTTTTATTTTGGACTTTTTTACTTTTACTTTTACTTTTACTTTTACTTTACTGTTACTTTACTTTACTTTATCATCATTGCACCTCATACAATGAAATTAAATACCATCTTCAGTGTACATTATGACTATGAAAATAAAACACAAACACACATCCTTCACATTCTATACAATTGAATTGAAACCCCCTGATATTGCATTCATATTGCACTATACAGCAGAATTCAAAACAGCTACTGCCCTGGGATAGAAGCTGTTTTTCAGCCTATTTGTCCTTGTTTTTATTGTCCTGTACCGTCTGCCAGATGGTAATAGTTCAAAAAAAAAGGGGGGGTGCCCAGGATGAGATGGATCATTAAGAATGTTTTGAACTTTCTTAAGGCAGCGGGAGCTCTAAAGCTCTTCCAAAGAGGGGAGAGGGCAGCCAATGATCTTCTGGGAAATGACAGCCAAGAGACAGCTTGAACCCCACGCCGTCTTGCCCAGTACTCTTGGCGCACAAGTCTCCTGACAAAGGAATCCATGCCGTCTTCTTTGTTCTGTGATGTTTTGTAGTTTGGACCCAACAGCTTGCAGGCGTTTGCATCCATCGTCGCTCATGAGCTTGGCCACAATCTGGGCATGAACCACGACAACGATAGAAACTGTCACTGTGAAACAGGGAACTGCATTATGAACTCTGGAGCATCGTAAGTAACTCCCGATTCTATTTTCCAAAAAGGCATTTTGACACCTGGTGGTGGAAGATCAAACAGATTCCTGGGAGTTGAAGTTCGCAGGTCGAGCAGATTCCTTATGAACCTAGCAGGCCCTTTTTTCTCTCCCAAGGGAAGTAGAGGATCAACCATCATCTTCTTCTTTTAATGACCCCCATAATCCCTTGTGGGGTGGGAGTCCGGGCAACTGACTGGAACTGAGTGTTTACTGGCTGGATGCCCTTCCTGTTACCAAAGCGGAGTTTTGTTCAGCAGATATATTCTTCATAGTGGCCAGAGAGAGAAATATCTGCCGCTACTTAGGATTGAACTCACCGCCTCCTGATTGTGAGGTGAGAGCTCTACCTCTAGACCACCGCAACACTCCCAAGTAGAGGATCAACTATACTGGACTTAATTCTAACTAACAGATGAAACGATGGAAGGGGTTGAAGTTATTATGAATCGTTGCACGATGAGCCCTATGTTCAGATCAGATTTGGAATTTTTGTCTACCTGTCGAGTCCTTCCCAAGGACTTGGGATGTTGATGTTTGATGGTGTTATAGATATTGTTGGAGGATTATTATTATAACATGCTCTATTACCAATCTTGCCTTATTTCGAAGCTAAGTAAAATCCAACCTGATTAATACTCGCATGGAAGACTTTGCAGGGAATTTCACCAGTCAATCAAAATTCTGTTTGCCATCCCTCTAATTCCGCTTCCAAATCAAGAACACCATACTGTGCTGTTCCACTCACTCACTCATTCACTCACATGTCAGAGTGGTTTATGGAGAGTTTTATTGGTATTCCCCAGCGGTTGGTATTCCCCTGCAAGAACAAACCCAGATTAATCCCCCAGGCAATGGCCAATTAAGCCCATGAAACAAATAGCAAACGGCTCAAACAAGTAAGTCCAATAAACGAATGCAAAACCCCCAGGTACAAAAACTGAAAGCACATCCACCTTAGCTCACTGGTTGTAGAAGTTCAGAGTCTCAAAAATCCAGCAGCATTTATTTATTTTTATTTAGCACATGACAAATGCATGGACTTAATAGTAGTTCAAATGTTAAAGCTCTTGATGGACCTTTGGACACAATGGGATGGATATTTTGTCAGGGAGCACCACAGTCACACTGAGGGGTAGAGACAAGACCCCCACTTAAACAATGAGTCCTAGCAGACGCCATATTGGGTACGAATCCAGTTCAGAGTTGACCAATGCTGGCGCGGAAGGTCAAAACCTGGCACCTTTTGTGTAGAGTCACCTATGTTGGGGCGTCCAGCAGTCCCTTTGGCCTTCCACTGTGTGTTGATGTCAAAGTTGTTGAGTCCAGCAGGAAACGAGAACAAATACACGGCCACGACCCACATACATTGTTCCCAGCAAGGCCTCCATCTGCCTGCTGTAAATAGCTTTCCCAGTGCAGCCCATCAGGAGGAGCGGGGCCTTCTCCCGAGCAATCTGGCAGACATCCGTTTCTCTGCCCGGCGTGCTCTGAGATCTGCCACAGCAGGCGTCTCCTCCCCCTCCTCTTCACTGACCTGCAAGCCGTCCCCAGCCGAAGCCTGTCATTCTCTTTCTGCTGGCTGTTCAGGGTCAGTAATTAACTCTGTTCCTGATGTGCCAGGAATGAGAGGTCATTCTCATTCAGGCCGGTTTCCGAGGAGTCATCCAAGGGAGACACCGCACATTTTATTGACCGACAGGCTTAACTTAAAAGGTTTTTGAAATCTCTCCCTCTTTGTAGAGGTGCCAGGAATTTCAGCACGTGCAGCGAGGAAGACTTTGAAAAGCTAACCCTAAACAAGGGCGGGAGCTGCCTCCTCAACATCCCCAGGCCTGATGAGACCTACAGCATCCCATACTGTGGCAACAAGCTTGTGGATGCAGGAGAAGAGTGTGACTGTGGGTCAGTGGAGGTAAGTAACGCACATAAAGACATCTTGGTGGCCAGGGCCAGTTTTAGATTCTGGCCAGTTTGAAAAGTGAATGAAATTTCAAGAAGGCAAGATGAAAACATTGGAAACTGCCTATGGACAATGATTTGTGCTTGAAGAGCTAAGTTTATCTTGAAGAACTGTCTAATGGTTGAGTTATGAGGAATACAGCGACCACGCTCCCCCCAAATGTTGAATGAGGCCAGGATCAAAGTAAAAACTCATTTGCACATGGACACTTGTGTCTAGGAAATCACAGATCTACCTGTCTGCACCTAAAAAGCAGACTTTCACCTTTTGGTTAGGAGACAGGACTGAAAACGCCTGGAAGTGTGCTACCTTCGTAGGTGTCTTCGTCTTTTTCAGGAATGTAAAACTGATCCTTGCTGTGAGGCAGGAACTTGCAGGCTTCGCTCAGGATCTGGCTGCGGCTACGGAGATTGCTGCAAAGATTGTCAGGTAAGAACTTCTGTTCTGTTCTGTTCTATATTACTCTGTTCTGTTTGTGTTCTTGTTTCTGTTCTATTCTTTTCTATGATTATTCTATTCTATTTTATTTTGTTCTATTCTGTTCTGTTCTATATTATTCTGTTCTATTATTCTGTTTTGTTCTTGTTCTGTTTTATTCTGTTCTACTATTATTCTGTTCTGTTCTATTCCACTGTTCTATATTATTCTGTTCTATTATTATTCTATTCTGTTCTGTTCTATTATTATTTTGTTCTGTTCTATTCCATTCTGTTCTATATTAT